CCGCACACCCCGTCCCCCTCCTGCCTCCAGTGTCCCCCCCCCAAGGGGATGGGGATGGGGACAGCCAGGGGGACAGGGCTATTTTGGGGCAAGAAAGGTGGTTTTCCAACCACAAGAGGATAGGAAACCCGGAGCCCCCCCTCGGCTTCCCCACCTCCCGGGGCCGTGACCCAGCCTTTTCCCCAGACCAGCCTCTCTCCATCCTTCCTGCCGGGGAATTTATTGCTTGACCTTCCTGCCAGGGAAGGCCAGGACTCTCATTTCCAGCCCTGGGGGATCTGCCCGGCCGTTTCCTTCCTTTCCCCTGGCACGGAGGGCACCTCAATTTGCTGTTCCCCCCCACCACCATCCTACCCGCACCCCGGTCCCCACCATCCCTGGGATGCTGAATGCCAGTAATCCATGAGGAGGAGGATAGTGGAGATGGCATCCCACCATCCCACCCTCCCTGGCAGCACCCGATGCCAACGCCAGGCAGATGTTGGGTTGTCCCCTCTCCAGCCCCATGGCCATGAACACCTCATGGATGCAGAACATCACACTGGGGGTGACCTGGGTGCCTCATGGCTGTCATGATTGCATCAAACCACCCCATTTTTTTCATCATCTATGTCAGGGTGGCATCAACCCCCCCCTGGGCAAACCTCCCTCGCCCCAGAGAACCAGCAGGGAACCCCCTCCCCAAACCACGGTGCAGGGTCCTCAGCCCATGGCCATGACCCCACAAGTGTCTGAGAGACCCAAGGGGGGGTGTTGGGAGTCAGATGGACCCCCCAAAGCTGGGGAGATGGGTGCCAAAGGGACGGGGACGGGCAGGGGGGGCAGCTGGAAATTGCAAGGGCTGCTCCAGGCGATCGCTGGGGTCCCACCAGAGGAAGGAAATTCGGGAGAAGGATGAGTCGGGCAAGACCGTAGTGAATTAATCAGGGGGAAATAAAGACAAGCAGCATTGATTTTCTGGGGAGGAAAAAGACGGAGCTGCTGGGGGCTGGATTGGAGCCTGGGAGGGTTTGTGGATGCTGGGGGGGGTCCATCCCCTTTGCTGGGTGGCAGTTTTGGAGGCGGGGGGGGTCGTTAACACCCCAGACAGTGAGGATGGAGAGGAAAACAGAGGCGGAGAGAAGCCGAGGGCTGGCAGAGCACAATCCAGCTTTATTTCCCTGCCTGCAGCTCGGGCAGAGGTTGTTGCTGCCCCGGGGGGGG